CAGGACACTAGAAACCCTCCCACTGTTACACCCCCAAAGTCCAAGAATACAGATAAATAAATAAATAATGGATCCCAGCTGCATCCGCCAAGTGTTGGCTCTACCTATATGGCTCCTGGTCTTGCATATAGAACTCTGCATACAATCCTGAGTGCTGAATTCAAGGGATCCTTTAAAAGGTCATATATTCAAGTGGTTTGTGGACTGCAGGAATTTCCTCATTCTCTGGCATGAGAATAGTAGTAACAGAATAGTTCTTTTTACAAATCAGTACCAGAATGCACTGTATTTACAAAGCAGTTCATAAAAATGTTTATTCATAAATATACACACATATATTATCTTTTTTTAAAATCTGGATTATTCATTCACATTTTAAAATATTCATACAAAAATATTTATACTATTAAAATATAGGAGCCTTGTAAGATGGATGCAGGAAAATTTACACAGGTTTGTAGTGATTCTTCTCAAATTCAAGGTCACTTAGACATTTTGTAATAGTTCCACATCATTTTCAGTTCCTGGAGTGTGTGAGTCCCACATTCTTGATTTGCTATTATTTTGCTTCGCTGGCGTTTGCACTTGTTAGAATGCTTATAAGTAACAGTACCATTCCAGACATTATCCATCTGTTGAGCAAGAGATCACATACTAAGAAAAGTTTAACTGAATAATGCTTGAATTGTCAAGAAGCAATTCTAATTACTTGGATTACTAATTACTGCAGTTCACCCTGGTCTTACTGAACTCAGATCCTGTTCTTTGAAGGCCTGATTTGTTTTATTTTTTTCTAATGATTTTTTCTCTTTATTTGATTTATTGCTAACTGGATAAAACACTGAATAAACAACACACTCTCCCCTTCTACTATTTACTTATATGTCAACTTTGTCACAGTTGGATTTTAAGCCTCCACTCCCTCCATACAAGTTTCCCTGCACTAAACATAGATGAGGGAGGATGAAAGGAAGATGCCACCAAGTCCCATTCCACCAAGTTATCACTGAGACCTGACACCCACATCACAACTATCACATAGAAGGATTTTAAGCAACTTTTTGGGTGACAACCTCTACGTGAAAATTGGTCAGTAATAACAGTGAAACAAGTGTCAAACATCTTAATCACATACAGATCATGTAGCAACCCATATATGACCCAATGCTGCCAGAAAGCAATGTCTGCCACTCCTTCAAGAATGTGTTCCTATTCAGATTGCTGCAAAATACTGCTGCACTAGAGCACAAAAGGAGCTAAGATACCGTTTAGAAATATTTCCAGTCTCCATCTGTGTTACCACATTTTTCTCCTGGAATGAATTCAGGACTGTATACATGGTTCTAACTTTTATTTTCACTATGACCCTGTGAAATAGAACAGACCAAGGACTGGCCCAGGATCATCCACTAAGTTTCAAGGCTGTGTTGGAATTTGAACCCAGGTCCTCTGTAGCCCTAGTTGGATGCTCTAATCAACATACAAAAGCACAGCCTTATAGTAAAGTAAGGGAATGTATTGATCTCCAAAGCAGACTTGAAGGTTAAAAAACCCCAAAGTTTAGGATCCACCAACATAGCAATGTTTTGATTTCTTTTCATACATTCCTGAACTAATGCCCCCTTTGTATCTTAACTAATATAGTAAACATAAAAGCACCAAAAGTTTCTGTCAGGATAACCCCAATTGTGTGCCAAAATCTGAATTCTGGAACTGGATATATATTATTTGCATAATTTGTATTTTATTCCATTTATTCTGCTTCCAGATACAGGGAGCAGCAAGGAGCTTTTCAGGGTAACGGAGATGACAACAACCCACCCCCTCCCAATCTTATTCAGCAAGCCTTCTGGCTTTTAATAAGAATCATACAGGCAAGAAACAGGCCGGAGGGGACAACCCTATATCATGTGATCAGAATATAATAAAGATAGTCCTGAAATTGTAGGACTGAGATAGAATGGAGGTCCATTAAGGCATTTGTGCAAGAGCTCACTAACTTGATGGTTTAGATCCATGACTTGATGGTTTAGACCCCTGCCCCTCCATATGCAGCTACTGGGGTTCCTTTTTGGAGGGGCAGATTCTAATGAAAAATGCTATCTGGCTTGTAGCTTTTATGCCCTCTGGGGGAAATTTGCAGGTTTTATCCCAGCAGCAGTAAAAGCGGTTGGAGTGGTCTCAGGCAGAGATCTTTAGCATCCTCCACTATCTGATCCTTTTAACTGTAGATGCCTTGAGCCTGGCACCTTCTGCATTGCAAAGTACATGTTCTTCCACTGAGCCATAACCCTTTCCCATTTTGTAGAGATACAATCACCATAGGATGGCAGGAATTAAATACCTGTATCTCCCCATGCTGTTCTCCCTCCTTCAAAGTCTTTCAAAATGATAACAGAACTAAATGTAATGTGCAGTTCTGCCATGTATGGTAACAAGAGTTGAGAAAGAGATGCGGGACAGCTGCTGACAGGCAGAGTAGTCAAAACTGAGCTAGATAGCCTGCCATCTCCAGTTAAAAGGATCATATAGATTTCAACCCAAATCCTGTTGCTTTGTTTATTGGATGTCCCTGTTGATTATATTGACTCACTGTAATCTGCCTTGAGTCCCAGTGAGCAAGGGGACCACAAATAATGTAAATAAATAAAATTAACTAAATGCAGGTGTTGCAAAAGACCTCGACCTGAGCTCCTGGACAGTCACCCCCCCTTGCTGTTTATCTTGCAAGCCAAGTGAGAAGCAGAGGTGGTTTGCCATTGCCTTGCTCTGCACAGCCTTTCTTGGGGGGTCTCCCATCCAAGTACCGACCCTGCTTAGTTTCTGAAGTTTAACTAGATCTGGGTACACCATGCCACCTTCCTTGCTCTCTTCAGAAAATTTAAATATAGCCCATGAGTAATGTGTAACTGATCAGTGCATGTAACTTTCCTCAGTG